TAAAGGGGTGGAGCATCAAGGGGGAGGGGCAAAAGGGGGTGGAGTCAAGGGGGAGGGGCTAAAAATGTCCCACCTCCCCCCACAGGTTCTGGTTGCCCCATCGCCGCCCCCGGCCCCTCCCCCACCCCGGCCCCGCCCCCCATGGACGGGACCCCCGGGGGCAGCCAGGGATGGTGAGGGGGGGGAGGGGCCCAGACCCCTCCCCCCACCCGGATGTGGGGGTGGGGGAGGGGCGAAGAGGGTCCCGCCCCACGGATTTGGGGGTGAAAAGGGTCTTTTCTGTCCCAGAAATTTGGGGGTGAAAAGGGGCTTTTTCTGCCCCAAAATTTTGGGGTAGAAAGGGTCTTTTATTCTCCACAATTTTGGGGTAAAAACGGTCTTTTCTGCCTCAGAAATTTGGGGTTAAAAGGTCTTTTTCACCCCATAAATTTGGGGTGAAAAGGGTCCTTTCTACCTCATAAATTTGGGGTAAAAAGGGTCCTTTTTGACCCACAAATTTGGGTTAAAAAGGGTTTTTTCTGCCCCATAAATTTGGGGTGAAAAGGGTCTTTTTTGCCTCAGAAATTTGGGTTGAAAAGGGTCTTTTTTGCCCCAGACATTTGGGGTAAAAAGGGTCTTTTCTGCACCACAAATTTGGGGTAAAAAGGATCTTTTCTGCCCCACAGATTGTGTGGTAAAAAGGGTCTTTTCTGCCCCATAAATTTCGGTTAAAAAGGGTCTTTTCTACCCCACAAATTTGGGGTGAAAAGGGTCATTTCTACCCCACAGATTTTGGGGTAAAAAGGGTCTTTTCTGCCCCACAAATTTGGGGTGAAAAGGGTCTTTTATTCTCCACAATTTTTGGGGTAAATGGGTCTTTTCTTCCCCATACATTTGGGGTGAAACGTTTCCTTTTTGTCCCCCAAATTTGGGGTAAAAAGGGTCTTTTTTGCCCGAGAAATTTGGGGTAAAAAGGGTCTTTTTCACCCGACAAATCTGGGGTAAAAAGGGTCAGTTCTGCCCCACAATTTTGGGGCAAAAAGGGTCTTTTCTGCCCTGCAAATGTGGGTTAAAAAGGGTCTTTTCTACCCCACAATTTTGGGGTAAAAAGGGTCTTTTCT